TCTCTCCTGCCTCTATGCTTCGGCCCAGAAGTTCCACTTCTCTAGGTATGTCCCAGCCAGGCGTTGTGTTCAACACTGACCAGGCAAGCTGGAAATCAGACAGACACAGTGCCTAACCTCAGGCAGTTTAAAGTGCATTTGACAAATCTACATTTGAAAAATGTTTTCACCTGATAGACTTGCTATTTTACAGATATTGGAAGAATACCCCCCAACAAAAGTTTAGTTGTATACAGTACTCTGAAGGTCTCAACACTTTTGAATTTTATTTTTAAACCTGAAACAAGAACATCAGAAGTTTAAAATGTTAGCTTTTAAAATTATTTATTTTAAAATTAGAATTCTCTGTTACAAATACAAAGAAGAAAGTGCATCAAATGTGAGTAATGAGGGATTCTAATTCAGGAGACGCAGTAGGGGAAAGTAAACCTGATATTATCCTCCACAATGAACAAGAGGGCTCAGTTTCAATTATGTGGTGTGTTCAGGTTTAACAGCATTGGCTCCACCCTGCATAACTCATTGGTTTCTGGTGGGCAGCCCTCTATGGCAGTTCAGAAATTTGATCTGAAGCCTCCATTTGACTTCCAGTACTGTTATAAGAGGTCCTAAGACCCTGAGAGACAGAGAGATGCAGATTTTCTTGAAGACCCTTAAAAATCAAGATGTGTGGGTTTCTGTAAATCTCATTGGCATCTAATACAGAACCTGTCATGTAATGGTTAAAAAAAAAAAAGTGATGGTTTATCCTTTCTTCTCTTCTGCATTCCCCAGAATGTCTAGCACAGAGCCTAAATCACAGTAGGTGTAAATAAACACACACTGACTTGATAATGGTGCATGAAATCATGGACCTACGGGGCCCAGCGCTTGTGGGGGCAGTGGTAATGGCAGAAACAGAACTGCAGGAACTTAACAGTGGAGGCCCCCCCCCCCCCCGCAGCATTTATTTTAAACACATCTCAGAAGTATGGCAGTTGGGGGTCACAGTGGACAGACAACCAGAAGAACAAAATTCAGCTCTGGGCATATTATAGACCAATTGCGTGATTACGAAAGTTATGAATCTAGTACACCACAGGTACATGCACACACAGGTTTACATATGTATGTTGGGTGGTCCTCTTATTAACGATGAATATTCTGGAAATGTTGTTTGAATTTGTCCTTAAGATCAAGGAAAAGAGGTTTTCTTTTGATAAGACATTCAAGAAGTCAAAACCAGAGGAAACATACCAATGTTTACTGGAACAGCAGGAAGGCTTTCACTTCCTTTTAAGAAATTTAAGTTCAGGGATAGAGGTCAATTAGGGAGGCTAATTACTATGTTCTCCTTTTATCAGAGTGGTCTCCACAAATCAATACTGACTTCTTTCATGTGCAGCAAAAAGGCATTCACACAAGACAAGACAAGACCATTTATCTATTTGACTTAATGGAAAGGTCTGAAAATGAAATGAACCAGACGATGCGTTCCTTATCGCCACATTGATTGAAAGCCGCTTGTCCAAAATGCAAGCACTTCAGAAAAATAAACATAGCATGCCTGGTCCCCCTTAGTAATCCAGTGCCACCAAATGAGAGCCTAGAGGTCACTGATCCTACTTTTTGAATCAAGTTGGGAAGGAGTATTCGAAGCAGCTCACACTGACAGGCTCAGAAAAGGGTTTCATCTTTAAACGCAGTGTTCAGTGCTGGTACCCAGGAGTAGCAGAGGCCGCTGGTAGGAGACTCTGCTCAGCAGATGTACGATAGCAAGCTCCAGGAGAAGATGGGACTGCTTTTAGCTATTTGGTGCTACGTGTGTTATCTGCTACTTGGACTGGCCATGACGAATGAACTGCCTGGGCAATGAAGAGTCAATGTGCCAAGGAGTTGAGGTGTCAACCCCTCTGGTCCTGGCCCATGCCCACCTTCTGCCTTCACCCCTGCACTGCACAGGGGCCCGCCAGGCACAACCCCAGAGCCAGAGTTGTCACACTGCCCTCCATTGCTCCAAACCCAGTAGCTGACAGACTGGCTTCAGCCCACATTTATGATCTTGTCTTCAGGTGAATCTCAGGGGCACTGGCCCTGCTAAAGATTTTTCAAAAGGTACAGACACTGGGAAAGGAACACAGGATTGGGGAGTGAAGAAGAGTATGTATACTTCTGGTTTACTAAAGTTACTTTGAACACCCACATTTAAAATAAAAAAATAAAGTTTTAAATACAGAAATATAGACGCCAAAGAAAAAGCAGCAATTTAAATGCCAAAATACCAGGCAGAGCTGAGGAAAGGAGGGGTGTTTAAATGATTAATTACACTCGAACCGAGACACCTTGATACTGAGCTTTCATGCTAGGAGTGTAACAGGCTTGCCAATTAGTTACTTGTGAATCATCCTCCACTTGCCTAATTTCCCTTCAAAGTTTGTACTCAGCAATCTGCACTTACTTAAATATCAACTTCTATGGTTTTGTTTTTAGGGGAAAAAGAAGGAAGGAAAACCAGCTCAGGTCTTAGTAGTCCAGCAACTAAATTGGTCATCCCAGGAAGTTTTAAAAACTGCTCTTATCTGCTGCAGTGCAGAATTCAGAATGTAATCTCATTTAACAGAATTGATTATGAGAAGAAATACAGACTTCATTTTGGTAATGAATCAAAGAATCTAACAAGATACTGTTGCTTGGGCCCTCAAAGGTCAGCTTCTGTGAAATGCCAGTATAGCTGTTTTGTTTAAAAAAAAAAGGATGGGGACAGAAGGAGGGACACACTCGTGTTTAGCACCATAGTCAGGCAGACGAAATTTTCTCAAGACATCAAAGTTATCTGCTGCTAATTCCTTTTAAAGCACCTAGTTCATTTTCACATGGCCTTTATAAATGTAATAACAGTTCTTAAATAATAAAAAAAATTATTCCCTTTTATTTCATACACACCCCTTTTACTATTCCAATTACTTTAATTTGTCTTTTTAAATGTAATATATATATTGATTACATATAATCAATATTTTTATTATTTTTTAAATTTAATAAATATATTGATTACATATAATACTCTGAATCACACAAAGAAAACACGGTACATTCTTTTCAAGTATCTATGGAACTTTTACAAAAGAAATTTATACATATTAGGTTAAAAAGTCATCTCAAGGGCCAGCCCGGTGGCGCACTGGAGAGTGTGCCGCTTGGGAGCGTGGCAGCGGTCCCGCTGAGGGTTCGGATCCCATGTGGAGACCGGTTCCCGCTCACTGGCTGAGCGTGGTGCGGGCGCAACACCGAGGGTTGCGATCCCATTGCCGGTCCCCGGTACAGGCGCAACACCGAGGGTTGCAATCCCGTTACCGGGCAGTAAAAAAGACAAAAAGGAAAAAAAAAAAGTCATCTCAACAATTTTTCTTTTTGGCAGCTGGCCAGTGAGGGGATCCGAACTTTTTACCTTGGTGTTATACCCTTGACCTTGGTGTTACACCCTTGACCTTGGTCTTGTAACACCATGCTCTAACCAACTCAACTAACTGGCCAGCCCCTCCAGCAATTATTCTTTAGAAGTTATTTTTTCAATGGTAAATTTCAAGTGCATAACCATGATCTTCTTGCTTAAAAATTAAGCCCCAATGTGTGTGGCTCTAGCGCAGTTTTAGGAGCAACCTGAGTGCCCACATCCTGCCTGTCCCCCCACCCCTCAGCCCTCTTGGGGGTGCATGGCGAACCTAGACCTCCGTGGAAACCACAATGAGGGAACATACACCTGGTCCACAATGAGGGAACACCACCAGCAACCCGGCCAGCAATGCTTTTTCAAAACATGGCAGCTTCTCCCACCTAAATAAGCATGTAAGCAATTCTTGGAGACCTTCAGCAATGGGGCGGGCTGGGGAGCGGGAGCACAAATCTCTAGGAAGTACACTAACTGACTAAGCCTGGTTTGCCTCAGGAACCCTGTTCTTTAAGGGAAAAGACAGGGTCAGCTGTGCCAGCATTCAACCTGTAGTGTCACCCAGGATGGTAATATGGCACTTACTGCAGGATAAATTAGATTTTTAAATTTAGGGCAAATTAGAGAAAGTGTTTACAGATCTGAAGAAATTTAAAATACATCAGTACTTAGAATTCTGCTCTAAAAAAAAATTCTTTGGCATTTATGAATCTGGCTGGCTATATGAAACTCAGACAACCAAGGTCAGGTCCTTTCTTAGCAAAAATGATCATGGATCAACAGGTTTGAAAAAAAGTTAAAACAGATTTAAAAGTTAAAATTGAGAACCAGTCAAATACGGGAGAAAAGCAACCATGCATACTATTAGGTGGCAGGAACCAAGAGCAGGAGGAAGATGCTCCTCAGAGTTGTGCCAGGATCGGTGGGTTCTGGGCAATAACCAGGCTGTGGCCATTCTGCAGTCCAGTACCATAAGGCACAAAGTGTGGCCTTTGACAAAAGTGCTTCAGCAAGGGTCAGAGTTTGCAAACTTAGAAAGCAGCAAACCAGTAGGCTGGCCAGTTAGCTCAGTTGGTGAAAGTGTGGTGATGATAACACTAAGATCCAGGGTTCGATCCCTCTACTAAAAAAAAGCCGGCCAAAAAAAAGCAAAAAAAGCAAGCCAGCAAAAAAACAATTTTGAGATTCCTAAGCAGCCTCTACAAAGACAGGAAATGCAAATTCAACACACAGCACAGTACAGACACATCTGACTGCAGAAATGAAAAGACGGCTCTGCTGGTAGAACACATCCACCTGGAAATGAGAATGTTCTTTAAAACACGTACATAGACTGGCTCCTTACAAAAAATAATTTCTTTTCCTACTGACTTCTATACTGAAATCATATCATACAGAGATCCCTGACCAAGAGAACCCTTTACTTCACAAAGAACATTGAAAACTTATAAAAAATGAAAATTACTATTACGTAATTACATGTAATGACAAAAACATAAATCCTATTTTATAGAGCAAAAGGCACAATGAAACCCACTTCTCATATGAAGCAAGTGTTACAAAAACAACTCACCTGGAAATCTTGATCATCAATTCCAAACCTCTCCCGCAGATTACGAAAAACCATTGGGCAGTATTCCTTAAACTTGAAATGGCTCGGCATGTTTTCTCTGAAACAATCACATTACAGAATAAACTCAGGTAGACAAAGAGTTAACCAGACTTGAATCTGCCACTGTTTAGTTCTATGCGTGGCCAAAGAAGCATTTGGAGTTTCCTGTCCACAGAAGGCACAGGTGTGTTTCACAGAACCAGGTAAAACTACAGTAAAATCCAGAAGACAGAGGAAGACAGGCCTATTTGTCACCTTTGTCATAGGCACACTGGGACTATGTGACCCCTTTAATCCTAGCCACATGTCACAGCCATTCCCCAAGGAAGAAGAGGTGGGAAGACAAGGGGCCAGGCAGAGGGAGGCCGTGAAGGAAAAGCACAGAAGGGGGAGCATTAGGAAAGGGAGCAGAGCAAGCTTCGAACAGCGGTCCCCTTGTCTGTCCTTGGTCACTGCCAAGTAAAGCTGAAAACACACAGCTGTTCCCTCACTCCCTGAACGACCTTGTTTTATATAAATACCATATTCTAAATGTGCATGAAGAAAATTCCCATAAAAAGTCAACCTCTAAATAGTTGTATGAGAAAAATTAACATATCAGCTTCACATGAGAATTATGGCCCCATTAAGAAATCCCATAATTGGGGGGCCGGCCCGGTGGCGCACTGCGCTAGTGCGCCACTTGGGAAGCGCGGAGGCGCTCCCGCCGAGGGTTCGGATCCCACATACAGACCGGTTCCCGCTCACTGGCTGAGCGAGGCGCAGGGGCAACACCGAGGGTTGCAATCCCGTTGCCGGTCTCAGTCCGGTACGGGGGCGACACTGAGGGTTGCGATCCGTTGCCGGACACGGAAAAAGACAAAAAAAAAAAAAAAAAGAAATCCCATAATTGATCCTCATGTGGGAGGGATCTCTTAGAGGCTCACTACACTCATTCAGAATGGCTGCTTCCTTTGTTTTCCCACGGAAACACATACAGGTTTAGCATCCAAAAATCTGAAATGCTCTAAAATCAGAAAGTTTTGGAGTGCCAACATGATGCTTGAAGGAAATGTTTATAGGAGCATTTAAGTACAATCATGCATTACTTAACAATGGGTATATGTTCTGAGAGATGTGTATGCAATCTCCTCATTGTACGAATGTCATAAACTTAGACGGTAGTGAAACCTAAATGGTATAGCCTACTACACACCTAGCCATGTATAATGGCTATGTATAGCCATTATAATCTTATGGGACCACCGTCATATATGTGGTCCATCACTGACTGAAACTCCATTCTGCAGTGCATGACTGTATCTGCAAATACCTCAAAATCCAAAAAAAACCTGAAATCCGAAATGCTTCTGGTCCCAAGCATTTCAGATAAGGGATACTGAAGCTATATATAAATCTCTCTCACACACACACCCCTCTAATGTTGTACTTTGCCCACTGGCCTGTGAATCCCATGCGGGCAGGGTCATGTCTTACATATCACTGTATTTCAGCTCTTGATGGACTACCTAAAATATATTAGATGCTCCATAACAACATCTACAACGTTGAGAGGAAGGAGAAATATTCTCAATGCCCAACACAGCATCCAATTATGTTTTAAACAAATGTACCTTAATTCTTTATTGTTCTATGATGTAGTCATATCTGTTCATAAAATCATCATTTTCAAAGTTTTGTGTAGGAGAGCAGAGGTTCATAACTGTTCAAAATTCAAGCAATTTACAGCTTCAAAAATTCAAACTGTAATGAGAATACCACTTTCAATGTTTAAGATATTCATAGAGAACTATATGCCATATGGCAAAAGGGTATTATCCCAGAAGGCCTACTGTTGCTTCTCTGAAGATGACAGATGGTTATGTTTATCACAGGATTAACTTCATCAGCAAAACTTTACTCCCACCCATTGAAAAATTATGTGATTACAGAAATTCACTAAAAATCATACTCCTGGCAGCCACGTCAGTCCTATGAAAGGCAGAACTTGTACTTACTTGTTAAAAAGGTGATTGTCCACCTTTATCTTTGAATAGGCTTTGAAGTCATCTGGCATCAACATAACAGGGATTTGAACATGGCTCAGTTCATTGATCTAGAAAAATATAAAATGAATGGCACAGGTTATTACTGTCAAGGTGGAGGGGCTAGACTTGAACGTGTACCTTGCAGAGAAAACCTGATGGAGAGAAGAACTTCCCTGCCTGCTCACCCACCTTCCTCCCTGTTCCTATCCTAAGGTCTCTCTCTTCCCATCTTCCTCACTTGCTCATCAGACTTCACCACGCCTCCCATCTCCCATCCAGCTCCAAGTCTTACTTCTTATCTCGGTCTTGAGTCTGGGCCTGTGGTGGTCACCAGATGGTGGTGGCAAGGGAGGAATACTGGCGGGTCAGCCCTCATGACCACCTGTACCTGCTTCTCTCCCATTGACTCTCCCCACTTTCCTCTAGAACCTCAACCCAGAGTCCTTCTGATCACCTGTCCAGGATGACTTTCCTCTGTAAAGAAAATGTCATCTGAGAAAGAGGGCTTTTAAATTTCTGATGTAAATATTTGTTGAATCAATGAACATGATTTGTTGATTAATGGACATGATTTATACTTTTGGGTACCCAAGGAACAATACTGTTATTCATGTGATCTTTATTTTTCTTATAGGAACTAACTTTAAAAACAAACATTGGGGTGGGGCACGAATTTACCAGAAGAGGAACCTTCACTGAAGGAAGGAGGAAGGCACATGAAATGAGAGGGAGACTGTTTGAACAGTGGTCAAGAACAAAAGCAAAGATGTGGTTCCAGAGGATAAAGGGTACAGTCGAGTTCTGTTTACATTCTGGTGAATGGTACAGACAACTTTTGACACATGCCTTTGAAAAACTTGAACTTTCTCATGGCTAATTATTTTTGCATCTTGTTTCCCAAGCTATACCTCCCTAGCAATAAAAATCACTTTAAAGATTTATCCTCCAGTAGAATGGAAGGTACTTTGAAGGATTCTCAATCAAAAAACAAAACAAGCAAACAAACAAATGAAGTCTTTCATAGAGCAGAGTTTTGAACACACTACTGGGTTCACAGAAAGCAGAGGAAATCTCCAAGATACCTTCCTTCCCCCAAAGTGAGTTTAATCCATACAGAATACATTGATCACTAAGCACGCCTGAAAGGAGGGGTTTCTCTGAAGACAAATGCCATTTTCAACACTTAATTGGGTCAAAGGAAAGCTGGGAGCTCAACCAAAAGCTTCAACGTTAAACAGAAATCTTTGAAGGGAACCTTCAAAAATGGTCCCAACACATGACAGAATAATTGCAAATGGTCTCTGGAGGAAAGCATTCCCAGCCCAGGCCTCAGGAGGGTTCCCGAAGATTAAGATCAACCAAGATCTCTGTTAACATAGGTCACAAAAATCGGTTAATATTTTCAAGATTTCAACTATTAGAATGATCAGATACAGAATAAAAAACCAAAACTATGTGTGAAATGTATAAAGAAACAGAAGACAGTTTAACAAAGATGAGTAAATATTTGAAGATATAATAATGATTGAGAAAGTTATTTATCTCTGCATACAAAATATTCAAAGCAATGTAAATAAGAATATTCAAAGCACACCCAGATATACTGTATTCAAACTAAAGAATGCCAAAGCAAAAAGATGAAAGATGGCCTGAGAGAAAAGGTAGAACACAACAACAAAAAATAACAATCAGATTGACGGCTAGTTTCTCAAACATGAATGAAACTGCCATTTAACAAAAAGTCATCTAAAATCATATAACTTCTTCCCAATTTATCGAACTATCTTACAATACTAAATAATTCTCAGAGTATATTTGTGAAAAATTAAAGTTTACATACCTTGCTACTAGCAATGGAATATCAAAGTCTGAAAAATCAAAGAAAAAAAAAGAAAAAGAATCAGAAAGGAAATCCGAGTCCTGAGAAAGTAAGCACAATTAGAATGAAGCTGGATGCCAACTCAGTGTGTCAATATCTTGCGGAAATAGAAAAAGTTTAAGTAAGAACAAAGAAAAATGCAGGATGGCAAGAAAAAGTTAAAGAAAAATCTACCACATCTCACTTTCATACAGAAAAAGGTTGAAGAGAATATAACAAACGACTTCTCGCTACCACATCTGTGCTTCTTGGAGGTACCTGAGAAAGCAAAACCTGATGTGGAAGCAGAATCGAACATTAATTACTTAAAAGTGATTAATGGCTCTTCCCCCATGCTACTGAAATCAGTACTGCACGGGCCGGCTGGTAGCGCAATCGGTTAGAGTGCGGCGTTATAACACCAAGACCAAGGGTTCAAATCCTGTACAGTCTGGCCAGCCCCCCCACCCCCACATAAGAAAAGCATAGAAAGAGAAACTTTTAGAATCTTTTTTGCTTTACAGTCCCTGCTCTGGAAAATGTTATGTGGAAAAAATATGAACACTTCAGCCAAAATAGAATGTGTAAACAGAATTTCCCTCATCGATATTCTTTCTCCAGCCATTCTGGAGAAGTACAATTTCTGAGAGTCCTCTCTGTGCTGGGCTCGGTCAAACACCAGTCTTTGCCCTCTCGGTGATTATACCCCAGAGAGGCAGCTACATTAATTGAAGAATTGCCCAGATGTAAAATCGTAACAGTGACAAGCGTCAGGAGGCAGAAGTACATTGGGCTAGGAGCAAGTATGAAAGAGGCACAGACCAGGTCGAGGGGACAGGCAAGGCTTCCCTGCGCAGTGATGGCCGGAGGAGGGTTCCAAAAAGAAGGCAGGCCCTGGAGCAGAAGGGAGCACAGTTAATTGGAGAAATGAAAGGTCAGTGTGGTTGGAGTGCAGACATGCAGAAGGCACGTGACATGATGAGGCTGAACCGCAAGGTCAAGGGTACTGAACAGAGGCTAGCTACCGTGGGACTCCATGACAGAGAGGCTGGCACAGGGCAGAGGCAGCAGAGGCGACGGAAGCAGACAGGTTCCCATGATGCTGAGCTGGTAAAATCATCAGGACTGGATGACGGACTAGAAGCGTAAGGAAAGGTAGAGGGAAATCAGAAGATGATGTCCAGATTTCTGGCTTGTGTGCCAGGACAGATGGAGATTCTGTTTCCTGAGAGTGCATTTTAAGAGAAGAGTTCGGTTTTGAGCTTGTTAAATGTGTTGCGCTATTGAAACACCTATTGCCAATGTCAGGTAGGCGGGTGGCTGTGTGGACCTAAAGCTCCTGGGGAGGCAGGGGTGGGAGCTAAAAATATGTGCATCTGCCAGGTGCGGATGGAGTCACTGGTTGAGGACAGAATAAGGCAGGAGAGCTGAGGCTGTCTTGAAGCACATCCAGGCTTCTCAGCCTGGAAGAGGAGGATGAGCCCATGAAGGAGAAAGAAGAGCTGCCTGCAAGGGATGAAAAGAAGCGCACAGGGTCAGCTCGCAGGAGCCCAGGGAAGAGATGGGAGGGGCAGCGTTGAGCCCTCTGAGACGCCAGGGAGGGTGATGACTGGGAAAGAGCTGGATTCAGCAGCACGGGAGCCCTTAGTGTGGGGCATCTTGATGGAGCACAGCAGTGGAAACCAGAGTGGAGTGAGTGGGGGTAAGAAGATGCAGACACTGGACATGGTTAGGTGCTGAGAAGTCAGGAAGGGAAGGAGAGGGAGAGAGATGGGCAGGAGTGAGGTATGGAGGAACGGCCTGAGAGAGAAGGGACACTCCACAGCACTTCCTAAGAAGGCATGAAGGAGAAGGCTTTGGGAGGTAGCTCCTGTATTAACAGGAGGGAAAGAGGACAGGAGTTGTACAGAAGTGGCAGAATCTGCCAGAGGGAAGACAGGCAGTTCCATGTACTAGTTTCTATCTTCTTTGGGAAGTAGGAGTCCTTGCCATGCCCTGAGAGTGAGAGGCTGGCTTAAAGAGAACACAGAGGTGGAAAAAGTGATCACAGAATGTGGAAGAACAAGTTGAAAGAGAGAAATGGGGCTGGGCTTTGGGGCAGAGTACAGAGTCCATTGCAGTCCCTGATGGCTGATTTATCGGGAGCCAAGCAAACTTGTGGAGCGACATTCCGGCAGAGCTCAGCCTCAGTGTGCAGGTGCAGAGACACAGCATGGTGGGGGTCCTTCAGGTTTGAGGTTTTTGCTAGTTGATTATGACATCAAAATAAAGGAGCAATGGAGCTCCAGGACAATCACTTGGAAATGGAAAATCAGTACAAATCCAATCCCTGACCATAAGGAGTTTTCCACTGTAGTTGATGGGGCAGGATATTTACAAACAATAAAATACAAAGCAGCATAGAAGAAATGCTTAAGTGTAGACAATAGTGCCCCAGGAACTCAGAGGAAGGAGGCCACTGTCACAGGTGTGGATGAAGGGCTTCTTGGAGGGAGTGAAGCCCCACATAGCTCTTGGGAGATAGAGAGATATGACCAGTGTGTCATTTAAAAGTCTGGAAAGTACAAACTCGCAGTTATATCTACAAGTTCCAAATTCATAAATCAGACTACCTAAAGAGGTAAGGAATGTTTGCTCTTCGTTATTAGAGAAGACGAAAGAGATGAGAAGAGAAATAAAAGATAATTACACCTTGGTTTACCTAGAATTATAAGATGTTGAAAATGGAAGAGGGGCTGAGCCCGTGGCGCACTTGGGAGAGTGCGGCGCTGGGAGTGCAGCAGCGCTCCCACCGGCGGGTTCGGATCCTATATAGGGATGGCTGGTGCGCTCACTGGCCAAGCGCGGTGCGGTCCGGTCTCAAAAATGACAAAAAAAAAAAAAAAAGAAAAGAAAAGAAAGTGAAAGAGAATCTCAGAGATCCTATGGTTTAATCTCTCATTTTGCAGATTTTACTGTATATCCCAGTATAGCTATATCTATACTTTTAAAACTGAGTAGTAGCTCGATACTGAGTTATATTAGACTACCTCATGGCTACTTATCTTTCTTCCAGCTTGCCTTTCATTCACAATAGCTTTCACGCCCCCCCCCTAAATCTCCCCCAAACTTCTTGGTCAGGTGAGCAGCTAGTTGTGTTTGTGAACAAACCCTTCACAAACCAAAGGATCTGCCACTTAAAAGAAACTTTCAGTTAGTA